CCCCCCCCCCCCACCAACTTTGGCACCCTGTGAGCCGGAGGCTCTTAAATTTAGGGTTTAGGGTAGAACCGCAGAACCCTTGAAGTCGGATCTCAAGCCCTCAACCCCAGGGGGGTTAGGGATTCTAGGAGTGAGGGTTTTGGGATTTGGGGGGGTGGGGGTTCCTGAGGGCGCACGTAGGCTTTAAGCCCTAAACCCTAAACCCTAAACCCACTAAACCCGAGGCTCGGAGGCGGTGCGAGGGGCATCTCGGGCTTTGTCTTGGTTGTGGCCAGTCTCGCGCTTTTCAAAACTGCGCTTCTTAGTTTCTGAGTTCAGAAGCCCCCCCCAAAAGTGGAATCTTTCAGTTCTATAGGGGATTCTGGTATCCCAAAAAGTGTAAAGTGTGCTCACTCAGCTACTAAGTCTTTGGGGTTTCTTTAGTACCGAGCCGAAAGAGCGTGTCTTCAACGTTTTTTTTTTTTTTTTTTTTTTGGGGGGGGGGGGGTATTTAAAAGGATTCCAAACGCAGCTACTTCGGATTTCGGGGTTTAGGGTTTAGGGTTTAGGGTTTGGGGTTGAAGATGGTTTGTGGCTTACCTCGCGGCCATGGGTAGCGGCTCTGAGGTTTCGGACCGCGGGACTTGTAAGGCTCATAGCTTGATTGTTTCTCATGCCCTTCAGTGATTATGGGAGGGCCTTTGGGACCTTGTGGCCCTCAACCCTAAACCCTGAACCCGTGAGCCTAAACCCTAAACCCTGAACCCTAGACCCTAAACCCTAAACCCTGAACCCTGAACCCTAAACCCTAAACCCTAAACCCTAAACCCTAAACCCTAAACCCTAAACCCTAGACCCTAGACCCTAAACCCCCAAACCCTAAACCCCAAACCCTAGGGCTGTTGCAGGTTTGAGAGTCGCAGGGCCCAGGATTCCACAGGATTTGGCATCTGCAGAGTTCCGCGAGGTGAAGCTTCGAAAGCTCGAAACTCAGCCTTCTGTGTCTAGAAACAGCCCAAAACCCCTTTAAACCCTAAACCCTAAACCGCCTAAAGCCCTTCAAACCCTGAACCCCATTTAATCTTGAATCCTAAATCCTAAACCCTAAACCCTAAACCCTAAACCCCAAGAACACATGCCCGCATGCCTCGGCAGGGACGTCCAGGAAGCCAACGGAGGAGGCATCCTTCTAGCAGTGTTTGGGCTTGCAGCCCCGAAGCCCTAGACCCTAAACCCCAAACCCTAAACTCGCCCCAAGAAGCTGCACCCTATAAACGCTGGAAGCCATATATAAACCCGAAAACCTCTAAACCCTATAAATCTTCTAAACCTTCTAAACCCCCCCCCCCCCCCCCGCCCCCCCAATGGCCCAAAAACTCTTTACACCCTATAAAGCCTATGCACCCCAAGCCCTCTAAACCCCAAAACCACTCTAGCCTGAACCCAAAGAGGTCCCCTCTAAACTCTAAACCCTATAAACTCCAAACCCAATACCCCAAAACCACTCTACCCTTGAACCCACAGAGGTCCACGATGGTGACGCCGCTCATGTCTTGTGCCATGGGCATGGGTGGGCAGGCCATCGGCAAGAGCTGAAACCTGAAAGGAGCGGAACCCAAAACCCTAAACCCTAAAACTCTCGGGCGCCCAGAATCCCGAACATAGGGGCCTGAAGCAGACGGCGGTCTGCCCAGAAATTCAAAGAACCCCTTAGTTGAGGAATATTCTCTGACTCATAGTAGTATCCTGACCATCGACCTACTCCTTCTCTTTTTTGGAAATGGGCCACGCAAACCCTATGTAGAACCTACATTCCTTCAACTATCTGGGGCCCTAAAACCTCAACCTTCAACCCTAAACCCCAAACCCCAAACCCTAAAAACGATCTCTTTGTAACACAGGGCCTGAATAATTAGAGTAGGATTTTGGGGGGATTGCTTTAATATACACTTATCAACGGGCCATAAGGGAATACCATTCGTGATTTTTCCGACCCCTACATTAGGGACTTCGAGCGTTGGCTCTATATAACCCTTCTCGGGGTTCCATAAGAGGATTTCAGGCCCCGAAATCCCTAAATTCTCACTGAGAGCTGGAGAGAAAACCCTTACACCCCAAACCCTAAACCCTAAACCCTAAACCCTAAACCCTAAACCCTAAACCCTAAACCCTAAACCCTAAACCCTAAACCCGAACTTGGCAGCTGGGTGATGAGCTGAGTGTTGACATCCTGGAACGAGCCAAAGTGTGTGCCTGGGCGTCAGAAGTGGCTATGGCATCTAGACCGTAAAAACCCCAAACCCTGTAAACGCAAACCCTAAACCCTAAACCCTAAACCCTAAACCCTAAACCCTAAACCCTAAACCCTAGGCCCTACAATTCCTTATGAGCCATTGGCGCCTCCGTCGACTCCCCCCCCCCCCCCCCCCCCCCGGCACCTTCATCTTGCCCTCGCTGCTTTCAGCTGAACTGGGACGGCTGAAGAAACCCTTTTCCCCCCTTGTAGTCCCCCTTGAAGCCCCAAGCCCCTACAGCCCCCTAAACCCTAAACCCTAAACCCTAAACCCCAAACCCTAAACCCTAAACCCTATAACCTTGGGACAAGCTGAGGCATGGGCCCATCGGTACCACAAGGGTAACACCGTCTGGGAGACCTCGGAAGAGTTGGCAAAGTTTGGGGCTTTGCGCTTCTAAGGTTTAGGGCTTAGGGTTTAGGGTTTAGGGTTTAGGGTTTAGGGTTTAGGGTTTAGGGTTTAGGGTTTAGGGTTTGGGCCTTCGCACTTCTAAGGTTTACTTGGCTGCACTCAGGAGGGTAGCTATAAATTAAACTTTAATAGCTGCCTTACTAAGAAACCCAATAAACCCAAGAAAAGTAAGGATCTAGAGTTACGGTAAAGTACCACGAAAGTTTAGGGCTTCGGGTTTTGGCCCCCCGCCCCCCCCCCCCCCAAATCGGGAGTCGGTCCCAACAGAACTTAACTTTTTTCACATCAACCCCTGTAAACCCCACACCCTGAACCTACAGTACGCACTAAACCCTGAACCCAGGTTTTTGGGGCGTGCCCTTGGGACGTTCGCCCTTTTTCATTCTCTATTAAGGACTGTTACTTGGAGGCACTAGACCCTAGACCCTAGACCCTAAACCGCGAAGGAAGGCTAAGCCCGAACAAGACTCACACAACCCAAAAAGGTACTTTAGGGTTTAGGGTTTAGGGTTTAGGGTTTATAAGGGTTTACGGCCCCTAGAATGCTTAGACAACCCGAGCTTTGCCCGAATACCAACAGAACAGCCGACAACACGCAGACCTACTGGGCATGCAGGCAGCGATGTCGGGCTTCATGCTGTTGAGAGGACTTGTTGAGGTGCAATGAGCACTGGGGTTGGAGGTTGCAGGTTGTTAGGCTCAAGGGTGCTACTGGACCCTAAGCCCTAAGCCCTAAGCCCTAAATCCCAAACCCTAAGCCCTAAACCCTAAACCCGAAACCCTCGTTTAGGCCACGGGGCCCATCGCACCCGCTACGAGGGTATGATCTGCTGGGATTGCCATTGTCCCATCCGGTGCCTGGCCGAACCAACTCATCAGAGCTCGGAGTCTGTTATGGGGGTTTAGGTTTTAGGGTTTAGGGTTTAGGGTTTAGGGTTTAGGGTTTAGGGATACCGGATGCCATGACAGGGTTTAGGGTGTAGGATTTAGGGTTTAGGGTTCGGGGTTTGGGGCGCAGGGTTTAGGGTTTAGGGTTTAGGGCTTCGGGTTTAGGGTTTAGGCTTGTGGGTTTAGGGTGTCGGGGGCTTCGAGGAAGCTAATGGACATCATCGTTGTGTCTTTGTCTATGTAAGAGAGAGCTGGAGAGACTTGTATGTACACGTGCTAGGACGGTATGAAATTCATCATATGTACATGCATGTTTTCTAGGACCCAGAGTAGGCCCTTATTCCATTTTTCTAGGGTTCAGGGTCCCTCCTAAGCCCCTTTAACCCAAAACAAGGGCACCCTTTTTGATTCCTAGGATACTCTTGGGAGTATACATATGCGGGGTTACGAAAATAGGGAACCCCGAGTAGAAACCCCCAAAGAGTAGAATTCCCTTATAATGAGGACCCATGCGTAAGCCCAAAATCCAAAGGCCGGAGCATACTGTGGAGCCTGTTCGGGTTTAGGGTTTAGGGTTTAGGGTTTAGGGTTTAGGGTTTAGGGTTTAGGGTTTAGGGCTTAGGGCTTAGGGCTTAGGGCTTAGGGCTTAGGGCTTAGGGTTGGAAACGCAATCGATCGGCTCAATACCGCCAAATTGGGGTCGGACGCCACCCCCCCAAAAACTCCTGCAGCAAGAGTTGAAGCCTTCATGCCATGGAAACCCTAACCCCTAAACCCCAAACCCCAAACCCTAAACCCTAAACCCCAAACCCCAAACCCTAAACCCTAAACCCTAAACCCCAAGCCCGAAACCTTAAACCCTAAACCCTAAACCCTAAGCCCTAAACCCTCAACCCTAAGTCCCAAAACAGAGTCGGTCGCCCAAGAGCAAGAAGTGGCTAGAAATCGGTATCATCTCAGGTTGGACACCTTGGGGGCCCGTCCTGTGGTCCCCCTACCCTCATTCACAGGGGATCCGAAGTATGGGCCCTTAGTACATATAGTGTACTTGGCTGCACTCAGGAGGGTAGCTATAAATTATACTTTAATAGCTGCCTTATTAAGAAACCCAATAAACCCCAAAAAAGGTAAGGATCTAAAGTTACGGTAAAGTACCACAAAGTGAATAGAAGGGCTCTATAACAAGGGACCCACGTAAAAGGGGCCCAGACTTCGGATCTTCTGTACAAGTTGAACCTGGTTCATAGTTGGGATAGTAATAAATCTTTAAATTTTTATTCCTTATTGAGTTTAAGTACCCATAAAAATGTAAAATGTTACCCCACTATGATAAAGGAACGTGGGAGTCTCGAGGGAGTCTCGGCCCCAACTCGTGCTTTCAGTGCTTGAAAGTCGTGCTTTTCTTGCTCTCTTCTTCCCTTGGCACTCTCAAGACTCCAGAGCAAACTCATCCCTTAAGCCCGAAAACGTTTAGGGTTTAGGGTTTAGGGTTTAGGGTTTAGGGTTTAGGGTTTAGGGTTTAGGGTTTAGGGTTTAGGGTTTAGGGTTTAGGGTTTAGGGTTTAGGGTTTCGGGTTCAGGGTTCAGGGTTTAGGGGTTCGGGTCTGTCGCTCGCAGGTGCTCGTTGTTTCCACCGCCGGCGAAGCGTGGTGAAAGGACCGGCGAAACTGCTGAGGCTCATCTGGCTACCCTAAACCCTAAACCCTAAACCCTAAACCCCAAAATCCAAACCCTAACCCCTAAACCCCATGTGCTACGAGGATCCAGAGCCACAGTCGGAGTCAGTGTCGGGAATCTCACTACCAGAGGAGGCAAGTTCATATGCTTCAGGATCCACCGACGAGAGCAGGGTATTTCTGCCCCGGCTGAAGATGATCTGAAGGATCCTAGTTCGTGGTTGGGATAGAACCCAAAACCCTCAACCCTAAACCCTAACCCCTAAACCCTAAATCAAAATGTAAAATCTTACCCCCTCTCTGACCAAGGATCTGGCGGCCAAAGGGAAGTCTCGCAGTGCCCCTGATACCCAGGATTGCAATGCAGAGCATGGAAAGCAGGAGGAAGTCTGAGACAAAGAGCCAGAAGAGTGCGCAACCAGGCTTGCTAACGTGAAGTGACAAGAGGAAAGGCAAGGTAGAGAGCCAGCAAATCACGGCGACAGACAGGAATTTGTTCATGACCTTCAGAATGAAGCGCTCCTCATCCCAATCACTTCGGCAAAGCAAGGCAAACAACATGAGCCTTGAGAGGATGGAGACAATCACAAGGACCACGCGGTGCCACAAACACTCGCAGCGCAACATATCAACAACAGTGGTCGAAATGGCGGTTGTGGCAAAAGGGCCAAGCAAGAACATGGCCCCCGTGATTTCTGCAAATGCTGCATGCCGGATGTCCACTGAGCGGGCTATTTCCCGCAGTGCTGGAGTTGACATGCCTGCGGCCAGCAGGACGTGAATGGCATGGTCAACTTGGTCCACCTGATCACTGATTTCTCTGCGGATACTCACAGCGTCCGCTTCCTGAGAACATCTTGCATATTGAATGGAGCCTTCATACCCAAGTCGCAGCTCTTCTGACTCTGCCACGCTCGATCTAGCATTGATGCGATCAACCTCCATGAGGGAAAAAGCAATTGAAGTCATCAGCCAGAAGAAGCAACGAACCACCCTCACTTCACCGTCATCAGATGGGAAGCCTTTAACCTGGTGACCCACAAACCCGGCAAGAACACCACCAAAATCGCGAACCAGAAGAATCCAACAAAGCACGACGCCGACGAAATGCATGACCCTGCGCATGCCATCGTTGTTGATCACAAAGCAGAACCCAAGAACCAGCTCGGTACAGGCCGGCAAGAAGTAGTAGCTCCGCCTGGCTTCAAGAACTCGGGCCAAAGCGCCTAGCCCAGCACCCAACAGAGCCTGAGTTGTGCTTAAAACCCTTTGAAAATTATTTATGAATAGGTTCCTTTATAAGAAAAGAGGGCGAATTTAAAATATATCCAAAAAAACAACCCAGGAGCTGCCAAAGCTGTCCATTGCAAAGAGCGCCGAATCTGCAACAAGTTGGAGGAGCGAGCAATCAGAATTGGCTTGCCACTCTCTTGCGCGAGGTAAGCTTCATAAGAACACCACAGTCCTAGTTCATGCTTGGGATAGGTTTAAAATCTTAAACTTCAATTCCTTGCTGAGTTTAAGTACCCTTAAAAATACAAAAAATCTTACCCCACCATGAACAAAGTACCCTTAAGCTCTAAAAAATCTTACCCCGCTATGACATAAAGAGTCGGGTGTACACACTTTGATGCCGATTCGGTGCCACTAGAACGACCTTGCAAGAATTGAGCGCAATGGCAAAGGGCGAGGTCTTCGGGGACACCAAGAAAGAGGAGATGTCCAAGTTCCTAAGACGGCCCCCTGAAGACCCCTCTGAAAAAATGTAAGGCTTAGGGTTTTGGGTTTAGGGTTTAGGGTTTAGGGTTTAGGGTTTAGAAAATATCAAAGTGTCCCTGAAGGGCCTACCGAGGTTCTGGGGATTGGCCAGCATGCAACACCAAGCACTTCGCATGCCCCGCGGCCAACTGTGCCGCACTTTGGCCAGGAACTCAAAGACACCTCTGGGGGGGCTTACGATATTGGCTAGGGTTTAGGGTTAGGGTTTAGGGCTTAAGGTTTACGATATTGAGGGTACCTTCTTGGGGATCCTTATCATCATCGAATCCGACTATTTGGGGTCCCTGACTAAAAGGGAGTCCTAGATTGGGGGGGTCGACATTAGAGGTCCCTTATTTTCGTAAGGGCCCCCCACCTTCCTGCCAAGCATGGCTGATGAACACTTCGCACCTAGGATGGTCCTTGCAACCCTCTGAAAGTAGTTCATGGTTGGGATAGTATGAAAAGCACACATTCGATTCCTTATTGAGTTTAAGTACCCTTAAAACTGAAACATAAAAGAGTAACCACAAAGGAAAGATATTCCTGAATATGACCCACCGGAACCCAAGAAGGGAACATGCAAATTGTTTTCTGGGGCCTGCGGAGGCACTTCAAGCCCGCGGGATGTCGCATCAATGCCCAACTCATCTTCCCCGCTCGTCGGGTCACGGGCTTGACGTACTGCTCCGTCACCGTGTAGATGCCTAGTTCATGGTTGGGATCGTATTGAACATTTAAGCTTCTATTGATTTTTGGGTTGTTCATGGTTGGGATAGCACTGAAAATTTAAACTTATATTCTTTTTTTGCGTTTAAGTACCCTTAGAAACGATTAAAAACAAAAACTACCCCACCATGACCAAGATGCTCGGCCCGTAGGCATCCGAGGCGTCCTCGCCAGGCTCCGGCCGAATCTCGCCGCTTTGCAGGCCGAAGTGAACCTCTCGGCGAAGAAACGCCAAGTCCAGGTAGGTCACGCACCACCTCGGGATCTCTTAAACCCTTAAGACCCTCTGAACAAAAATATTCCTCAATATATATATATATATATGATCCTCTTGAACCCCATGTAGAGGGGAGAAAAATAAAAACTGTCCCAACAAGGACCTACCTAGCCACCGATCGGCTGGAACCGACCGATGGAGGTCGTAGGCTTCGGCAGTGACTCTCCTTAGTTGTCCAGTAACCGGGGGGGAATTCAAGGTTAACCCTAAACCCTAAACCCTAAACCCTAAACCCTAAACCCTAAACCCTAAACCCTATAAGGGGAGTATACTACCCCAAAAAGGTTAAAGCTTACCTGCTCTACTACTAGGTCGCCGACTCCGCGTGGAAGCAAAGGCGTTGCTGGAAGAAAAGGCGTACAT